GTCAGCAGGAGTTACTCTGGGTGCTGTGGAGCACAGTATATATATATATATATATATATATATATATATATATATATATATATATATATATATATGTTTGTTGTTTTTGGAACATAACATATGTCTTTCCACAAAACCTTGCCTGTCCTGGAAGTTGCTGTGTACACCAGGTTGGCCTCGAACTCACAGAAAATAGTCATTTTAATTCAGGTTTATATGCAGCCAGAGACATATCAATATGCTCATTTGCTTACTCTTTTCTCTTAAAAAAAAAGACATACTACATGCTTAATTATTTTCATTTTAAAAAACTTTAAATTGTATAAAGAATACTAAATGTGTTCTTGCTTGTTTCCTCTCTCTCTCTCTCTTACACACACACACACACATACACACTTATGCAGACTATTTTTCTTTTGGAAAACCATCCTGATATATACTACAAGCATCTAGATTCCCTTTCACTGTTACATCAGGCACTTTCAGGAGTGGGGATACACACCTTTAATCTCAGTACTCTGGAGGCAGACAGATCTCTATGAACCAGCTTTATCTACAAATTAAGTTCCAGGCCAGCCAGACTCACAAAGTGAGACCACCTCTCAAAAGAATAAGGACATGCTATTTATCACTATACCCAAGGAAATTACCATTGATTTACTAATGCCTTTCTGAGTGCCATCCATGCTCAGATTTCCTTAGAGTAAAGCATATTTTTTATAGATTATGTTTTGTCTAGGTTCAAGGGAAGGCTCATGTTTTGTATTTTCCTATTAAGCTCCCATTTTTCCACTTACACGCTTATTTTTACCTGCCTGTACTTTCATGTCATAGAACAGCTTGAATTATTGAGAGTAGAATGGATTCTTTATCACTGTAAACTCACACACTGCCATCATAAATTAATATTTGTACTGCTTAAATCCGGATTTGATGAGGGGGTGCATCTTCAAATGGATCCTGGGTTTTTTCAGCATTGATAAAGTATGTTTTTTGTTGTTGTTGCTGCTGTTCTGTTTCAGAGTTAGAAGGGGCCAGTTCTTACCATATAAAATAGATATCAAGATCTGAGTGCTAGATGTTAATTCACATGAGGATATCATAGCTTTCAGTCTTTTTCAATGGTTATAATAAGAAAGATACTGTATGTCTACGTAATATTGAAACTTAAAAATTCACAACTTAGATTTTATTTTCCAATTTATGTTCAACACAACAAGATTTATATTTTTAATTTTTAAAATGTATATGGGTGTTTTACTAGCATGTGTGTATGCAGTAGCCATTGAGGTCAGAAGAGGATATTGGATGCCTTAGAATAGGAGTTACAGATGGTTGTGAGCCAACATGTGGATGCTGGGAATCAAACCTGGGTCCTCGGGAAGAGCAATCAGTGCTCATAACTGCTGAACTATTTTCCTCAGGACCCACAAGGTTCTTTCTTATCCTGCTCTGTTTTTTAATCCTCTGGGACTATGGTGAAATGCCTGGTTTAAAAAAAAACCAGATGCTACCATTTCTAAGTATACATTATTATTAGGTAGATGTAGTTCCCAAACACCTTTCTTCTTTACTCAGAATGTACTACAATTGGACGATTTATTATACTTGCCACATAATAATCATAAAATATTATCTTACTAATTTTTCTTGGAATTAATTGAGTGATACAATGAGGGATAAGTGGTAAGAATGTAGCGAGAACCCAGGAAAGGCAAGAGAAAGATACTGATGCACTGTGTGTTATAATAGATCCTTTATTCTTTACAGGTCATAAAAAACAACCTGAATCCTGTGTGGAAGCCTTTTAAAATCTCTCTTAACTCTCTGTGCTATGGAGATATGGACAAAACCATTAAGGTAATTTGCAGTTACTACTCAGATACTCTGTAGTTTGCTATGGGATTATGTCCTGATAAACTCGCCTTTAATTGAAATCCTCATAAGTTACGCTAGAGGTGTAGTTTGGTTAGAGCTTTACTTAGTGATCTTGAGGGCCTATGTTTATTTGAGGGGAGAGACAGGGAGAAAGGAAAGGGAAGAAAAAGGAGTACAGGAGGGAAGAAATGATGTTAAAAATGTATTTAATATACCTAACTTACCAAATTACAGCAACCCAGTATACTGTTAAGTGTTGGTATTTACCATGGTGATATTTTGGCGGATTGGCAGGTTTGGCTTGCTGCCACTGCCCAGCATTACAAGAGAATCATCACATGTTGTTAGCACAGGGAAGATTAAAATTCAAAACCCATGTAGTGTCTACTCAATGGTGTCACCTTTACAGCATTATAAAGTCAGAACCTCAAGGCACACTATAACAACTCAGACACTGTATACAATTCCTACAGATAAATACATTTTACCTACTTTCTAAAATTAATGTGTAAGATAGCATTTTTTTTAAATAAATGACATCACAGGCATACGTATTTGAGTATGTTGTTGTTATCTAATATACTGATTTAATGCTTAAGGGTACAGCATAATTTTCATTTTAACCTGTTTTAAAAAAATAAGACATTCAGTTTAAATATGTCTTCTTTTTAATGAGATGCTTTTGCTCAGCAAATATGAAGCATTGACTATATTCTTTGCCTCTGGTGTATCCTTTGAAAATAAAACAGGTGTTAGTTATTCTGAGATCTCAGAGTTTTCCTGTCCTTATGCAGAAAAACAGTGGAGGTATTATAGGGCCAAGGAAAAGCAGATCACAGTTATTTTCAGTGTTTTTATTTGTAGGTATTTACCAAACCAAACAAAACCCCAAACAACCAGCCAGTTGAACACACACAAACTTAAAACACCAACACATCCTCCTTTTTAATAGGTGAGTTCTGTCTGAGGACCAAATTCAGGTCCTCCTGACTGAGCTGTCTGGCTTACCCCAAGTCCTTATAGAAAACTTTCTTCCCTTTACACCTCAACAGTTGAAGGTGTTGTTGGTGTTTCTTGTAATTAATACAGTAGAAACGGGAAAGATGATAGGAAACAGCATAACATGACATAACAGCATGGAGTCTGACCATAGCTCACATTTTGATTTAGCTCTCTAACCAGGTAAAGGATGTTGAACAAGTCATCTAATCTCCTTGCTAATAAGGTAGATAGTAATATCTACCATACAAAAGGGTAAAGATAGAATATTGAAAGTGAAAACATTGTAAACAGATAAAACAACAGCAGAGATGCAGCTATTATTAAAAGCTACTAAAATTTCTGAGCTTTGGAAGGAGTTGTCCCTAGTTTATAGAGAATTTAAAAAGTTATTGTTGGGGCTGGAGAGATGGCTCAGAGGTTAAGAGCATCTTCCCGAGGTCCTGAGTTCAATTCCCAGCAACCACATGGTGGCTCACAACCATTTGTAACAAGATCTGGTGCTCTCTTCTGGCTTGCAGTCATATATGCTGTATACATAATAAATAAATATTTTTTTTAAAAAAGTTATTGTTATGTGTAATTTGTATGGTGTGTCAAAGAGCAGTGAAAATATAGTTATGATATAAATATACTATGAATTGTATAAATGTTATCAAAGTAGCTACAAATTCTAATTTTAAGACAAACCTAGAGAGGGCAGAAGTCTATGCCTTGACTATTTGATTGTTTCTGACAAATTAACAATAAAACCATGTTTCTAAAACATTTTTTGCTCACAGTGGCATGCTTGCAGGGCCAATTTGTTATAGTAAGTAAACTGATTTTCTTGGCTTTGTCTGATAAATGTCTTCCATTTTTCAAGTCTCTTAGTTTGTTTTTAGTTACACACACTTGGTTTTCTACATCATCACTCACTTTAGTTCTTTAGTTCTGTATTTCTTTGCAATATCAAATAGTCCCACATCTGCAGTTTACTTACTCTTTGGAAATTACTTAAAGGTATGGTAAAGAATTACAGAGCAGAGAATAAAGTCAGAGTCTTCTGTGGATCCATCACTGTGCTGTCATCCTAGCATGTATTATTTTTAAAAGATGACGAGAGTAAGAGAAATAATCATGCATGCTGCCACCTTGCCTAAAGTAAGGATGCATTGTGTGGTGTGTACAGTTTTTTACATATATACATATGCTCTTATGTATATATGCATACATTTAAATTTCAAAAGCTCTTCAGATATTGCTGCTTAAATAGTGAATAGTACTGGTGTTTAACTTCTACACATACTCCTTGAAGCATTGAAGATGTTATGTCTGCCTTTGAAAGGACAAGAGGGGGCTTTTCCATTTATTTCCTGTAGTGAGTAATCAGAACTTAGAGGGTAAAGATGCATTTTCTGTTTCTTAAAGCTTTAATTGATCTAAACTTTTTTTAACGGTTTAGCCCTTACTAAGGCCTAACTAAATCTTAGCCATTTTAATGTTTTATTTGGCTTATATGTAAATTGATGTTCTTTCCATGGAATCTAAAAAGTAAAGTTTTGTTTTGCCATAATTTAAGAATGTCTGCTAAAAGTAATCTCATTCAATCATTAAGATGGTTTGTTTTCTGCCTTCTGAAACTTTGCTTCCTTTAAGAAAAAAAACCCAATTATGTATTTTTTTCCTCTTGACAACATTAGTCATATAAAAGCTGTTTGTTTAAAATTGGATATTGAATATGTAGGGCAGGAATCAAACTGTCAGACTTGGTCATGGGCAAAAATATCTATAAGGCATTTCCTTAAACAAGGCACTTTGCAATTCTAGAATATACCTGTTTTGATTGGTTGATTGATTGATTGATTTTAAGTGTTTCTGAAGGATAATGAAAATACAAGTAATGAATGAAAGCCTTCCAGTATACTGGCTAATTTTATGTCAACTTGACACAAACTAGAATCACTTTGGAGGAGGGAATCTTACTTGAGAAAATGTCCCTACCAGACTGACCTATGGCCAAAGCTGTGGTGCATTTTCTCAATTGATGAATGATGTGGTAAGCTCAGCTTATTGTGGATGATGCTGCCCCTGGGCAGGTTCCGTAAGAAAACAGGCTGAGAGAGCCATGGGGAGCAATTCAGTAGGGAGTACTCCTCCGTGGCTTCTGCATTAGCTCCTGCCTCCAGGTTCCTACCTTATTTGAGTTCCTGTCCTAACTTCTTTTGATGATCAACAGTGATGTGGAAGTGAAAGTGAAATAAGCCCTTCCTTCCCCACATTGATTGGTCCTGGTACTTAATCACAGCAATAGAAACCCTAAGACATCCAGTTTTGAAAAGCAGTCGGTATGTAGAACTGAGAAGAAAACCATCATTCGCCAGATGAGCGTGTAAGATTCCTAAGCATTGTACCTTGGTGGGTCACTACAACTTCATGAAGGCTGGAAGCTTTGTGGAGCTCTCTCCAAGGCAGATGCAAATTCTTCTTGTTAGAAGCTTCTGCTTTGAAGCACAGTCTTCAGAAGTGTCTTTGGTATAAGATTTTACTTTGTCCCTGTTGCTCACCACACAAGATGCATCTGTTGGCTTTGCACTTAATTCCTTCAAGTTCCATTTCTGAAAAATGGGAATAATAGTAACAGCATCTCCATTCTATGTAACTCTTAGGTCTATCTAGAGAATATGTACTGTGTACACATTAAATATCCATGTAAATGAATTGATGTGTTGAAATTACATGTTAGAAGTTCACATCCCTATCATCAGTTTTCAGCTTGCCCTGAATATAGCTTGCCTTGAACACAGCACCTTATTTTCCTATTAGAAAGTGTTTAGTTGTTTTTGCTTTTTGGGGGCCACTTGCCACCCAGCTCCTAAATAAATAACACATGGAGGCCTTTTTCTTAATTATAAATGCCCGGCCTTAGCTTGGCTTATTTCTTGCCAGCTTTTCTTAACTTTAAATTAGCCCATCTAACATTTGCCTCCGTGCTTTTTCCTTTTCTTCTGCATATCTTATTTTCACTCTTACTCTGCAGCTAGCTGTGTAGCTGGGTGGCTGCCCCGATGTCCTCCTCCTTGATCCCTTTTGCTCTTCTTTTCCTCCTGGATTTCTTCTATTTAGTCTCTCTGCCTGCCAGTCCCACCTGTCCTTTCTCCTACCTAGCTATTGGCCATTCAGCTCTTTATTAGAGCATCAGGTGTTTTAGACAGGCAAACTAACACAGCTTCACAGAAATGAAATGAAACAAAATGAAATGAAAACAAATGAAACAAAAAAGAATGCAACACATCTTTGCAAATGTTCCACAGCATAAACAAATGTAACACATATTAAAATAATAATCTACAGTAGGAAAGTTCTAGCATTCTGGTGAATATTATACTTTTTCTTCCATCTGCCAGTTAACACACACATACAAAACAAACTAACAAAAACCCTACTAAGAGCAAATATTTTCTTTTTCTTTCCTTTTTTTTCTGAGATGGGCAGGGAGAGAAGGGTACATGGAAGGAGAAGTAATGTGCATTTTATAAGATTCAGATCTAAGGCTAGAACTCTAGAACTCTACATTTCTTCCTTCTTACATGGGAACAGAGTAAGTGCGACCTAGTGTGGATACTTGAGTGAACTGACTGTTCTCACCCTAGAGTTTTCCTTTGTGTTGTAAGATTTTCAATCTTCAGACCAAATCTGACTCTCGTGTCTAACTTGTAATTACAAGCCCAGATTCCTTGGGTTGCAGCTGATCAGAAATGTTTCTTGGAACTCTAAATTATGTAGGACTTAGTTGTGTCATTTCCAGCTGCTGGATACTTGCTTCTACCTCCTATACAGTGGTAATTAAGTAAAGCAAATGAAAGAGTAGACGTAATTGCACTTAGTCTTCTGTCGGCGTCTACAGTGAGCATGGTAGAGGAGCTGCGAACTGCTTCCTGTGTGAAATGCAGTCCAGATTTGGGTTTTCATCTTTTGTGGTCTAGGTCCTGTTCTCTGGATAGTTCTGGTTTAAACATACTTCAGCATCATTTCTCTAGATAGTTAGTTCCTGTTCCTCCAATTAGACACTAATATTAAGAGTTTTTCCCTTATTTTAATTAAAATGGCAGCCAATACTTTTTAATAAAATTATACTGATTTTTGTATATTTTTATTATACTTAATTCCAGGTAGAGTGTTATGATTATGACAATGATGGATCACATGATCTTATTGGAACATTTCAAACCACCATGACAAAACTCAAAGAAGCCTCCAGAAACTCACCTGTAAGTTACACCTTTGCAGTTATATAAACATTATAGTTTACCTGTTTATTATTTTATGTTTTTCTTTGATTTAGCAATTAGTTTATCATGTTTTTATTCTATATTGCATTAAGCCCTAAAATCTTTTGTTTAATAGTCATCCATAATTCATACATGAGGTATGTGTCTTACTAAGTGGAGACCATATAATGGTGACCAGCACTAAGTGAGGACTCCAAACTATAGGAAAGAAAGCAAAGACCATTACAGTGTCATCTCCAGGTGTAGAAGTAGACTTTCCTTTTTTATCTTGGAAGGGAAAACATCATAGTCCAGTGCTGGATGAAACCATGCTCTGCCTGCATAGGGAAGACAGAGCACCATCACCTTCAGTGGTAGGTGTGAGTCCCCCATGGCTGGCTAAGCAGGGCAGATGTCCTGTGATCTACATTTGTACCCTTCCTGTGCCTCCATGGAAGGACTTCATGTCTCCCTGCAGAGTCTAAAATACTGATAATTAGGGGCAAGCCCAAGAGGCATTGATGTACAAGTAAACCATGGAGTAGTCATTGATTCTGAAGCCTGGAAAGGTTTTCGTTGTGGGGTATCCACCCAGGAAAACTGCTCAGACATGGGTTTAAACCAACAGGAAGTCTTTGTTAGTGGCCCGGTGACTACACTGGGTTTTCAAAATCCCAGTGTGGCACTGAGTCTTTTTCAGTGAGAAAGCTTAAACACCATGTTCAGGGTTGACATACTTCAGTTAACAAGAACAGTTAACCAGAAGCAGAACTACAGGAGCCAAAAAGCAAGGTTAGTGCATTTAGAGACTTTCCCAAAACTATTGACTTTGATGAATTAGGTCTTTGTTTTAGTTTTGGCTGGTGGTGCTGTCTACTTGCTAATAAGCTTTATGGCCTGAATGGTACTTCCATCATGGAGTCAGTTGTGCTAAGGTCTGGGGGCCTATTACACTTCCACAGACAACAGAAGCCCAGCACAGGCTGTGAGGAGTGTATCTTTTGGTAAGGAAATATCTTAGGCTCAAGATTCGTGCACATGAGACTGCCATTCTTATCAAGTTTATATTTATATTAAAGTGTAATTTCTTGTGGCCACAGGATTGCATTTCATGTATTTTTGTTTATTCTGTTCATTTTCTTTCCTTGGCATTTATTTTGTTTTGTTCAAAAAATTAACATTTACTTTCTTTTTTCTTTTTCTTTTAAGATTTGATTTTAAGGGAAAAGGTTCATTGAAATTCATTTTAGTAATTTGGCTATTGCTTGTAAAAAATTTACTATTTCATTTTCTCCTTCCATAGGTTGAATATGAATGCATAAATGAAAAAAAGAGACAAAAGAAGAAAAACTATAAGAATTCAGGTGTTATCAGTGTAAAGCACTGTGAGGTCAGTAGTCTGTAGCCACCTGTAATGAGGTCACTTTCTGAGTTCTTGTATCAGTATGGGTTTATATCAAAAAAGTACTGACTCTAAGCAGCTGGAAATCACATGAGCATGTGATCATCTTGAGGGAAAGAATGGGATTTGAAATAATAAAAAAATCTTTCAAGGAACTCTGCTTCCAAGGTTTGACAACTTTTAATAGATATATGTACATATATTTAAGTGTGTGTGTGTGTGTGTGTGTGTGTGTGTGTGTGTGTGTGTGTGTATTTAATGTATATGAGTGTTTTGCCTGCATGTAGGTATGTATACTATGTGTGAGATGTATGCACATGTGTACAGTGGTCTGTGGAGGCCAGAAGACGGTGTTAGGTGTTCTGGATCTGGAATTACAAGATAGTCGTGAGTCTCCATGTGGGTGCTGCGAACCAGCCCATATCCTCTGCAAGAATACTGCCTCTTCAGCACTGAGCCCATGGGCAACTTGGTAGCAAAGGATAAAGAATGATAAAGTTTTCTTCTGTCTGAGGAAATGTGAGGTTGGAAATAACCCCGTACATCTTCTTGGGTATAATTTCTTCATAAGATGTTATAAATGGTGGGGAAAGGCCACATTTTTCCACACTGAAAGCATGTTTTGTTTTTGTTATTCCTCTAAAGCTTTATTACTAGATGTTTTTTAAAACTGTCAGTATATTAGACTTACTACATAAAACTTACAGTGACTACATTTCCCCTTTTGCCATTGGTATTCTAATCTTTTATTTTAGTCACATTGTGATATCTTTTTATGTTCTTATTTGCATGTATTAGTTAACCATGATGGATTTTGTTATGACATTATCTCATACATGTATGTAATGCATTTTGCTCATATTTACCTTCCCCCATTACCCTCTCTTGTCCTTCCTCTTCCCAACTAGTCTCCTTTTACTTTCATTCCCCCTTTCTCCCCCCTCCCCCCCCCCCCCCCCCGTGTGTGTAACTCAATCAGTTTAATTAGGGTTATTTACAGAAGCATGAGTAGCATACCAGTGGTGATACCTGAAGAAAATGTCTCTCCATCAGCAGCAGTCACTAACAGCCTGTGAATTCTCAGAAGGGACCTGACATCATGAACCCTCCCCCTGATAGTTTAATCTTAATACTGCTGTGCTTGAGCTATAGTAAAGTCTTTATAAGTCCTGACATTTCGAGGAGGAGTTCTATGTGCTCAAATGTGAGGTAAATTTCATGTATTTGTGTCACGTCCTGGTCAGCTTACAAATTCTGAAATGCATATCCTAAGGAGCCTTTTGTTTCTCTTGTGTAGTTGGAGAGTTCTGGTTATTTTTGTTTGGTTTATCAAGACAAGGTTTCTCAGTGTAACCCAGGCTGGCCTCAAACTCAGAGATTTGCCTACTTCTGCCTCCCAAGTGCTGGAATTAAAGGTGTGTACCACCACTGACTGAGTTCAGCTTTAACATATATGTGTTTTTATTTTTAGATTACTGTAGAATGCACATTTCTTGACTACATCATGGGAGGGTGCCAGCTGAACTTTACTGTAAGTAATACTGAGTTTTCTTGCATAGGCTGTTAGATATTGCCCCCCACCCCCCCAACCCCCCTCTCCATTTTGCAGCATTCTTCTACTACCAAGCTGCCTTGTTATGAAATTTATACAATCTGTTTAACATGATTTCCTCATGGACTGTCTAGGTTCATCATGGAGGGTTTTACTTAGTTGATGAGTTGATGAATAATCGCTCCCTCTTTAGAGAAAGCAGATATGCACAAACCAGTGGTTACCCTGCAGTAATTAAAGGAATTGAGAACAAACATGTAGCAGCCCCTAAATATGGTCATTTCATGCAGTGATTCATGATTCTTCATCTAGTAAAAGAAGTACAGGCTGTTTTCATGCCGAGGCCTGTTCAGTTGTTTGTGGAAATGCTCTGGGCATTTGTTGGGGGTTGGCAGTAGAGGTTCTGGGATGATTTGGGACCTTGTCTCTTGAAGTTTTCTTGGACCTGGAGCTCAGGCAGCCCTGTCTTCTCTTTAGTAAGAACTGCTGTCTTGGCAGGTGGGAGTGGACTTCACCGGCTCCAATGGCGACCCCCGTTCTTCAGATTCCCTGCATTACATCAGTCCTAATGGTGTTAATGAGTATCTGACTGCCATCTGGTCTGTGGGATTGGTAATTCAAGATTATGATGCGTGAGTATAACTTTGGAAATACTCAAATACATGTTTCATAATTCCTTAGAAAGGGCACTTTCTGTTTCATCAGCTGGTGTTCTAATAGAGGTGGGAAGATGCCGGTGATAGAGCAGCATTCCTTCACAGATCTCTCATCTTTATTCCTTTGTTTCCCTTTGATCTTCACTCTTGCTGTGACTAGTTAGAATGTGTTGACTATAGCTTCTTCATTTAGTGGTTGATGGAGTCAGCAAGACTCATTTCTTTGATCTGATTTCCTTGGAGTTTTAATCAGGGGTAAGTTGTATATGTGATTGAAATCTAGGTGACATAATCTTGTATACGGTAATAAAAATTGTTTCTTAGCATATATACATGTTCTCTGCAATAATTAAATTCATTCATGCATTCATTCATTTATTTATTTATTCTGAGAAAGGATCTCACTATTTCCCTCCTTTGCTTGGAACTCAGTATGTAGACCAGCCTGACCTTGAAAGCACAAAGGTCTGTCTACTTCTGCCTTGAAAGCACTGGAATTAAAGAAGTGCATCACCACAGTTTGCTTCAAATATTTTTTAATTGGAGCTTTGACAAGACTAAAGAGCATCTTAACCTAATTGCTGCCAAGTATTCCCTGGATTCAATTCTCAGTCATAAGACTATATGACGACTACTACTACTACTACTTATTATTATTATTATTATTATTATTATTATTATTATTATTATTAGAAATTTCTTATAACAGCTAGTATGTGCCAGAGATCATCTTATTAGAATAGATGATGAGTCACAGATGGCAATCAACAGGTCATCAAAGAGTCACTCCTGAAAAGGGTACCAGGCCAGAGTCATTTCACACATGAATTCTTAAAAACATGTACTTAACAAATTCAAACCTAAATGAGTGAATTTTAAAAATTTAGAAAGTATCTAGAGTTCAGAAAAAGGGGCAAATTCAGAATAAGAAAAAAATCAACTTCTTACTAGCCAGCAACAACAAAATTATATTGTCAAATTAAGCTAATGAAGTAAATTATATTCACTAAAAATTATGGTGAATAAAAGTCACAGTACAAGTCATAATGAATGAATAGGATTTTTGTAAAATATCTCAGATTTTTAGTAAGGTAAACTAAAAATTGTACTGAAGAGCTAAGAAGGAACTATATTTAAATAGAGATCCTATGATAATGATGTGAAATGAATTTCTTTCACAATGAATCAGTTTAAATCAGAATTACAGTAGAATCCTGACAAGTCTTAAAATTCTCTAGCTAGAAGGAGTCAGAATCATCCAGACATTTTTCTAAAGGAAAGAAGGGAAGGAGAGGAAAAGGCAAGAGGAATTTGCTCTAGCAATTTTCTTGTTTGGTCTTTGTTTTTAACTTTTGAAAGGATTTATTAATTTTACGTGCAGGAGTGTTTTGCCTGTATGTGTACCATGTGTGTGCCTGGTGCCAGTGGAGGTCAGAAGGGGGTGGCATTATGAAGATTGTGAGCTACCATGTAGGTACTGGGAACCAAACCTGCGTCCTCTGCAAGAGCGATAAGTGCTCTTAATCTCTGAGTATCTCTCATCCCTGCTCTAGCAGCTTTTAAAATTTATTTTGCAACTCAAGTATAGAACTATACTTGACCAACTGAACCAAGCATATGGTAAGAAACAGAACTGTCTGTACACATAAGTGAATTAAGTAAGAATAGCATCTAAGAGGAAAGGATTGTAACAGCAACATATTGCATTAGAGTGGAATTTAAAGCCGGACATAGTGGTGCACATCTCTAATCCCAGCACTCGGGGCAGAGGCAGGTGGCATGTTGTGAGTTTGAGGCCAGCGTGGTCTACATAGTGAATTCTAGGACAGTGAGATCTACATAGTGAAACCCTGTCTCAAGACAAAAAACAAAGAATTGAATTTGAATCCACAGTTTGTACCTGCAAAGTATAAACCACACGTTGTAAACCTGAAGTAGATACTCCTCAACAAAGCAGCCTAACAAAACAGCAGTGAGTTCAGGACTGTTCCGACGTTTTTGCCCTCCTCAATTTATAGGTTCTATTCCTGGTGACAAGATCTCTGCTCTTCTTTAGACAGTAGGAAGAGGAGAAAGGGGCCCAGAAATGCATGTATATTCCCTTTTAGGGCCATGACTCAGATGCTGCTGAAAAAAATCCTTCTCATATCTCCTTGGGCTAGATCCTAGCCACCTGATCTCGACTGGCTTTTAGAATAGGTGTGGTCACCACTTCAAGTGTCTGTTATTAAGGGAGGGAGTGCTGTTGTTGGGAAGAAGACGTTTCTGCTTCATACTCTACTTCAGAGTGCTTTTCAGAGTAATGAGTTTATTTATTTATTTATTTATTGGTTTTTTGAGGCAGGGTTTTCCTGTGTAGCTTTGCACCTTTCCTGGAACTCACTTGGTAGCCCAGGCCGGCCTTGAACTCATGGAGATCTGTCTGGCTCTGCCTCCCGAGTGCTGGGATTAAAGGCATGCGCCAAGAAGTTTAATACCAAAAGTAAACTTGAAAATTTTTATGAGAAAAAAATATATGATTGGCTCATAATTTGCAGTGTGCATGGCTGGTAAGACAACAGAGGCCGAAATCTTGGAATAATTTGTTTGTGTTCACATTTTTTAATACTAAAATCCATGAGGTTGGGTGGGGAGATCGCTTCAGTGAGTAAGAGTGCTTTCTATGAAAGCAAGCGAAGCTTAGTTAGATCTCCAGCACCCTTAGAAAAGCATGGCTATGTGTGCCTATAGTCAGTGTTGGAAGATGGAAGTGATAAAGGGGAAACTGGGAAATGATAGAGGAAATTCTGTGAGAGAATTTAAAAAGAAAATCTATGAAAGTTTCTAAACCACGTTAGAGACAGGCTACAGACTAGGAAAAATATTTTTGACATGATACGGGTTCTGTCGTTAATGGAAAATGAACCTCAAATGCTAAGAATTAATAATACCGAATGAGTGAGGTGCTTGTACAGAGAAGGTGCTTCCGCCAAGCCTGACACTTGAGTTGCCGTCTGTTCTCCACGTACATGCGGTGGCAAGCACGTGACCCCCCACCCACATAAATAAATAAATGAAGTAAATATGGGTGAGCATACAAAGACTATTCCAGTAGAAAACAGTGCGTTCGGTGGTATTTTCTAGTAAGGCACATTGGCCATCCCTCAGTGTGCCTCTGGGAGAATACCCATGCCCTGGAAGTGCCAACTCACATGTTATATATTCAGGTCTGCAGTTTGTGTCCATTAACTACAGGCTGCAGATGGACATGTGTTTTCTTGCAGAAACTTGAGAGTTTTATAATAGATGACATTTTGCACAGTGTTTCTATGGTCAAATGTATGAATATTCACATCAGATGACATAAGTAAATGCTATAAATAACCTCGTTACTTGAGGCCTGGTTTTTCTGCCAGACAGTCTTGCTTAAAAAAAAAAAAAAAAAAGATGGGGTTTTTGTGTTTTTTTTTTTTTTTTTTGGCTTGTTCATATTTGTTCAGGGAAATAATGCACAAGGTTTAAATGGAAGTAGTAGGTTATGAGACTTATTTTATTTATTTATTTATTTAATGAGTATATGTGTGTGTGTGAGGGTATGTATGTGCACCTCGTGTGTGCAGGGACCTGTGGATGTCAGAAGAGGTATAGGATCCCCTAAACTGTGCTTGCAGATGGTTGCTAGCCACCAACTAAGTGCTGGGAAATTTAGCCCAGGCCCTCAGCAAGAACAAGTGCTCTTAACCATCTCTTGCCCTGTAAATTTTAATTTATGCTTCTCTCAAGGCATTAGGGTGGAGAGTGATAGAGGAACATACTGTACGTCCTCCTCTGGCTTCCATGGGTTATACACAGGTACACACACTCAGATATCACACATGCATACCACACACAGCAAAAGAACCTGGAAGATATTTCTGCCTTTAATGCACAGTTTTCCAGTATTAGCATCAGCATTAGTATAGGGAACACTAGATAATTTTTTGTTTATAATTTTTTATTGCTTTGAATTTTTTAAATATAAACATACTATTTTTAGTGTGAGTAAATATATATATTTTTTAGCAAAAATTGTTTGATTTGTTTTCTTTTTATTTTTTAGTGATAAGATGTTTCCAGCTTTTGGCTTTGGAGCTCAGGTGCCTCCTCAGTGGCAGGTAATCTTTTTTTTTTAAAAACTTTTATTGATTCTTTGTGGATTTCACATCATGCATTCCAATCCCACTCATCTCCTGTACCCTTGCATCTTCCCTCTGCCTTTCATTCTCCCCCACTCCTCCAAACAAAACCAAATTTAAAAGAAAAATCAAAACAAACAAACAGTAGTAACAAAAAAGAGAAGCATCTCGTCATGGAAGCTGTAGTATGGTCACACAATTTACCCGCTAGTCCATTCATCTTTGCTTGCCAGTGTTTGTTGCCAGAGTCACTGGTCCGATTCAAGGTCTCTGGCTTCTGCTAAGCCACCGATAATGGGCTCTCACTGGGACTCCTCTTGGATATCCTGTTGTCCTGTGTTGTGGAGATCCTGCTGTGTTGGATCTGTAGGTTTGCCCCCTTCACCTGCTCCAGCAGATCATAGATGAGGTGGGTGTCGGGGTGGACTAACTCATAGTCTGGGGGGGTGGTAGCTGGGTCGGTCATCTCACCACCTTTCCCTCATCTTCACTACCCAGGTGGCTCTCCAGCACTGGACAGGCTAGTTACCCAGTGTGGCCAGCAAGAAGTGGGGCCAGTTTTGCTTCTCTTAGGTCCTCAGGTCCAGGTCCAGGTCACCCACACTCACACTAGGGCCAGCTCTGCTGTCATGTCTGGGAGAGGTGCAGGGCTCTCTCTCCTGCTTGCTGTAGGGGACTGGGGTGGGGGCAGCTCTCGTGCCTTCAGGGCTGGCTCACCTGTGCACGGACAGCAGGATCAGCTCTAGTGTGCTCTCCGGGTGGGGTGCAGAGCCTCCTCTTCTGTTGCTCCAGCTTGTGAGGGCAAGGCTAGTTCGCACTCTGGTGACCCCAGGGCCAGCTCTCACTTTCAGAGAGAGGAAGGATAGCAAGGGGTGGAGGCAGGAGGGCATTTTTCCTTCACGCATGCCACTTCCTGGCACACAAGGTGGGGCAGGGGCAGTTCTGTTGCTCTCACTCCCTCAAAGCTGGCTCACCTGTGTCCTTAACAACAGGGTCAACTCTGATGTGCTGTCCAGGTGAGGTGCATGCCTGTGGTGAAGGGTGGGGCCGTCTTTCCTGAGTGCAGGATAGGGGTTGGGGGTGGGAGGATGATGGTGGAGGGGGCAGCTCTCTCCCAGGAAGGGCGGGACCAGCTCTCTTGCTGTAGTATCCAGCAAAGGCAGGGCCAGTAAAGGGTAGAACTGACTCAACACAGCATGGTTTCAGTGACCCCTCCCACTGTGCTAACACAGACCATGGACATCATCACTGACTCCAGCTGCAATAGGACATGGTCCTTGGCAGCATCTTGGGCCCAAAAGTCATCATGGCCCTAGTGGCAGCATAGCCCTGGAGCACCAACATGGTCTCAGGTGACTGACCAGAACCTGGGTGTCTGCAGAGCCCTCAGTGGTAACCGGAACTATGGACATCACCCCAGACCCCAGCTGCTGTAGCACCACAGACCCAGATGGGGCTCTAGGCTGCAGCCTGGGTCTGAATGCCTCCATGGCCCAGGTGGCAGCACCAGCCACCCAAATGAATATGGTCCCAGCAGTGGCATGGTTCTTGGACACTGACATGGTCTCAGGTGGCTGAGCAGACCCTGGTCATTCGTTTGGCCCTTGGTAGTAACAGGAGCCACAGACATCAACTCAGACCCTGGCTACTGCAGGGCCACAGATCCAGACATGGACTTTAGCAGCAACCCTGGGCCAGATGACACCACAGCCCTTGGACACACTCATGGCCACAGGCATCTGTGTAGTCTTTGCTGGCAACATAGGCCACAGACATCAATACAGACCCTGGCTGTGATAGGACACAGACTCAGACGTGAGCCTAGGCAGGAGCCTGGGCCTGGATGTCACCACAGTCCCAGGTGGCAGTGCAGGCCACTGAGAGTGGCATGGCCCCCACGGCACTGTGGCCCTTGGACACCAGTGTGGCCTTAGGTGGCAGCTCAGACCCCTGGCACAGCCTTCAATAGTCTCTGGAGCCATGGGCATCAACACAGACCCTGGCTAAGCCAGGGCCATGGCCCCAGGTGACAGCACTGGCCACTCCAGTTGGCTTGGCCCTGACAGCAGCATAGCTCTTGGATACCAACATGGTCAGAGGTTGTGGCCTAGACCCTGGGCATCGGTGTGGACCCCCATAGCATCATAGACCAAGGTCATCAACTCAGACCCTGGCAGTGGTAGGATCATGGACACAGACATGGTCCTCAGCAGCAGCCAGGGCCAAGATAGCACCATGGCCCCAGGTGGCAGTGCAGGCCATCCAGATTGGCATGGCCCCTGCAACAGCATGGCCCTCAGACACCCACATGGCTCCAGGTGGTGGCCAGACCGCAGGCCTCCTCATAGCCGTCAGTGACAACAGGAGTCACAGACATCAACTCAGGCCCCCTCAGCTGCTTCAGAACTCAAAGACCTGGCCCTTGGCTATAGCTTAGACACCAAGTCACCTTGGATCCAGGTAGCTAGCAAGCCGTTCATGTTAGCCTATTCTTCACCGCCTTCATGTCTTCAGATATGCCTCTCCCCTAGGCCCGTGAACTGTTCTGCCTCTCTTTTCATTTCCCCACCCTGTACTGGCTAACTATAATGGTGCCCAACCATCCTGGCACCATGGCTCTTGGTTGGGTCACAGGTGGCACATGGCTGAGTCCTACCTGCCCCGGCTCAAGGCATGGTGCAGACCTGTTGCTTTTCTTCTAACATGTCTGGGCCCAGAAACCTTGGGCGGCACTTGGTATGATGGTGCCAGACCACCTGGTGCCAGAGGCCCTGGGCAGGCTCCTGATTGATTGTGACCCTCCAGACCAAGAAGTCTGGGGTGGAGCCATCTGTGTCCTCCACTGGCTCGGGCCTGGAAAGGGCCGAGCTGCCAGGAAACCTCCTTTTAAAGCTTTATTCTGGACTAGCAAACAGGCCTCAGCACCCCTTTTTTCTTTTGACAGGTGTCTCATGAATTTCCAATGAATTTTAACCCATCTAACCCCTACTGTAATGGTAAGTAAAGCCAAGAAGCCAAACATGAAGACCACCTCACTGCTATCTTAGGAGTAGGTCACTAAAAGACATATTAAAAATAAAAGTATTTTCACATATATAAATAAAATAAATATAACTTAAACTTCCCATAAGTGAGTAGTTCGGTATTAAAGACTGGAGAAAACGTTCGGAGAAGCAGTCGCTCCTGTCGAGTGAAAAGTGTCAGTCTTCACATTTCTTATGCTTGCACAGTATTCACTCAGGAGCCAGGATGGTGATAGAACAGGGAGCTGAGCTCCTCGCACAGCTCTGCAGACAGCAGGGAGCTGGGAGCTGGTGTTTGTCTTTTATTTCACTTTTTACTTTATACTTCAGATGCACAAGTGCTTCCTCTTTAAAAATAAATTTTTGAAAAATCAGATTGAACAACCAGCCTGCAATACCAAGACTCCTACTAAATTATGTAAGACTGAATGTTTTGGGGGAGGAAAGGTAGGTGTATGTTTGTGTGGTTGGAGATACTACTTAAAATTCTATATTCTAAATTGATACCCTGCAGAGGGTTCCTTTTTTTTTTTTAAGAGGGTCCCTTTTAACTTCTACAAAGTGCATAGTAGCTTCTAGAGACAAAGAGTATTTATCTTTGTAAATACATACTCTGGTTTCTCTTCAGATCGTATAAATCTTTCGCCTTATTTATCTTTGTAAATACAGGTTGGAAGAGCACAGGACTACTTCTGGGGGTTGTTTCTTCTTTGTTCTGAGATACCTTTCCCTTTACTAATTAATTCAGTATTCCTTTGAGGCACTTTTAGTGCATGGTTGTGACCATTTTTATGTCTAGATATTTGTAATTGAGTTTATTTTAAAAATGTGCTTTTTGTTAGTATGTTAATTTTGGTGTCTGATTTTATTTATTTGTAAGGTTTTTATGATAAAGTTTATAAAACCATTTATTATTAAAAATAAAATAAAGAAATGTCCTTGGTGCTTATCTGAAATTGGAATTGTTTTTGGAATATAACTTATGTCATATGACAACTCATTCTAGAAGTTTATTGCTCTATAAGTAGTGTGAACCCATCCTTGGTCTGCTCATCAAGCAAATAGCCTTTTCACTTTAGGTATATAGTCTGGAAAAACAACCAGTTTCATTGTAGATTACAGATATACTATTTAGAAAAGGGAAGGACTTAAGACACCAAAGTTAAATTCCCTTTTTAAACAGACATCATTGAGCCTAGTTGCCTAGAAATGACATTTCACTTATTGCCTTAATGCAAGGAAGGATTTCAGTATAATTCAGTTTTAAGTGAGTAGTTGAAGACTTTATATTTGTGAAGAGAGTAAATTGTTAAAACCTTCAGGGTACAAAGCAAGCATAATTATACTAATAGAGAAAATACTTCTGTCTTTGTCAGTGTTCTATTGGTGTGAAGAGACACCATGACCATGGCAACTCTTAGAAAAGAAAGAAAGCATTTAGTTGGGGCTTGCATAGAGTTTCAGAGTTCAGTCTATAATCCTCGTGGTGAGCATGGCTGTGTGCAGGCAGACATGGTAGCTGAGAATTCTACATTCAGATCTGCAAGTAGGAGGAAAAGAGACTCCGAGGTTGGCATGGGCTTCTGAAACCTCAAACCCCACCCCAATAACGCACTTCCTCCCACAAGGCCACACCACCTAATCCTTTCAGATGGTGACCAAGCATTCAAATCTATGAGCCTATGGGGGGGCCATTCTTATTCAAACCACCACAACTATTGTTGCTGAAGTTATATGCTCAGGTTTTCTACAGTGTATTCCATTGCAGTTAGTGATGTTGCTAGCTATGGTTAATATTGTTCTTATTACTGTTAGACTAACTCCTAATTAAACTGTCAGTTTATACATGTAAAATTACATCTCTGTGTGAATTATTCTCACAGGTTACTTGCTCATGGCTACTTGTTTCTAAGTTCAACATGACCTAAAGGAGTTTCTTGGAACTCTTAAATTTTAAGAGGAGAGAATTGGTGTTTCGTTCTTGTCCTTGATCTAAAGCAAGAGACCTGTTTTTGTTGAAAAGTTTTCTACAGGGCTGAAGAGATAAGTCAGCGAATAAGAATAATTTCTATACAAACATAAGGACCTGAGTTCAAATCCCAGCCACCCATGTAAAAAGCTGGGTATGACTGCACATTCCTGTAACCCCATTGGAGGGCACAGACAGGTAGATCTTGAGAGTTCACTGGTTAGTCAGCCTAACCAAAGTGGTTCGTATGATACTCTGTTTTAAGGCAGAAGATGGAAAGCAATGGAGGACACCTGACACCTTATTATGGTGTCTGTATAGCATGCACAGGCGTACATACCTGCACATTCGCTTGCGTGTACCATACATACACACCACACATATATACTACACACAAATGAAAAATATTTAAAATACACTAAAGTAAGAAAATAAAACTTCAAAATACACTATAAACAAGTATCTATAGTTTCAAAACATAGTGCAGGGAGTTCTTTTGGTGTTTGTAGCATTTGCCTGTATCTTAAACTAACACTGAGGACAGAATCCGCATACCTAGGATACTCATTTGTAGACAGCTTTTCACCAGGGTACTAGCCAGCTCACCAGGCCATGCTGTTGTAACAGAACTATCTCTACACCTCAGTGACTTACAGTGGCACATTTATGCCTTACTCGTTTGACTTGTAGCTAGATCACAGCTGTTTTCCATGTTTCTTTTTTTAAAAGTTTATTTTTATAAGATGGGTCTTGCCATGTAGTTCAGGCTATAAACTTGGCATCTTCCTACCTCAGTTTCCTGAGTTCTAGGATTGTAGATGTAATGCCTCACCCAGCTCTCCTAAGTTTCTTAGTCTGGGACTCAGCCTGAAGGACCAGCTCTTCACTTGCTGGTCCTGTGACCTAGGAACCGAGTACAAGAACTAGAGAAAACAGGCAGTGGTTCTTAAAGCATCTGCTTAGATGCAGGGGTCCTGTCCACTTATATGCATTGAATCATACAGAGCCCTGTTCAACTTGCTATAAATAAGACTGGCAGGCCCAACTGTTTACAGTTTCTACAGAAAATGCAAGAAATAGCCCATGTGAATATTAAAACTAATGCTGCCCACTATATCATGCCTGACCCTTACTTGTATTGCCTCATTGTTTAGAACAATCAGCCTTATAACCTTATATTTTTATAGAACTTTGATCACAAGTGCAAATGGGTGTTCATCTCATTAATTTTTTCTTTCTGCTTAACAGTTGTAAGATGCTGCACTTTTTTCATTAAAAACACATCAAAGTTAAGCATAAATATAAGTCCCATCTGAGATGAAAATGCATGCTTTCTGCTTGGAGAGGCTGTGTTTGTAGCTTTTTTATTTATTTTTTTATTTTTTTGGCTTTTCGAGACAGGGTTTCTCTGTGTAGCTTTGTGACTTTCCTGGAAATTGCTTTGGAGACCAGGCTGGCATCGAACTCACAGAGATCTGCCTGCCTCTGCCTCCCTCCCGAGTGCTTTTTATAATGAAGCATAACTATGAAGAACTCTTGAATGTGAAACTTTTCCCTAGTCAAAGCACTTTTTGTTGTTGTTTGTTTCCTTTTGTAGTTGTGATAGGACCCACTAGAGTCAAGGTGATTTCGATACTTCCACCACAGTCTCCCTAGAGCTGGGATAACAGCTATTATTCACCAGACTTGATATGTATACAATTGTGCTTCCCAGTACTGTGGGCTAACAAATTACATTTGAGGATTTTTAATACTACTTTCTTTGATCTAGGAATCCAAGGCATTATAGAGGCTTATCGGACCTGTCTTCCTCAGATAAAACTCTATGGACCAACTAATTTTTCTCCAATTATAAATCACGTGGCCAGGTTTGCAGCTGCAGCCACACAGCAGCAGACAGCATCTGTAAGTGCTCTAGGCTCAGGAACAAAAGGGTGTGGTTGGTACTTCCTGGTTGCCATACTGTTGTTTATTGAGTTTGTCAGGATATTAAATCAAGAGTGAAAAGTGATGATATAATCAGCATTGGTTTGGGAGAGGTATCTGTTGCTACTAATGATCACTAAAACAAAATAATGCTTGTAGTTTTGAGTCTTTTCTCTGACTTTGGAAGTAATTTGTTTAGATTCTACCAAAAGGGGGAGGGGGCTATTACTTAACTTTTAGAAACATACTTTATGTGAAGGCCTTTGAATACTTTTATCAGTTGCTGGTATTGCATCACTTAACTATACTACTGAGGTTTGAATTAGTTGACCATTACCAGTCGGATGTTGGGTACCAAATCTCTCATGCTGTAATATATTTAGAAGTAGGGACAGGAATCACGGGGACCCTGTTGTGCAAGTGTTAAAAAAGTTAAACAAGGTAATTCATGTAAAGTGCACAATGCCTGGGTCAGAGAAAACACTCCCATACTTTTAATTTACTGTCATAAATCTTATTCCTGTCCTAGATTTAACTGGCCCAAAAAATGAAATGACAACTTTATGTGACATTTTATTGCTCTGGAAAGTTTCATCAAAAAAGAAAAAAAAAATTGTAAAGCATCTGTTTTAGCCAGGCAGATAATCCTTCTGCAGAAGTTTTGGACCTGTTGAGATTGGGCTTCTCATCTGCTCCCTTGCTCCAGTCTTTGACGTGTTTAGTGGTTCAGTTTAATGAGTGTTTACTCCTCTGATTACTTGAAAGGTATCTCTTCGACATTTAGATGTCTTCTGAGTATTTTTTCAAACTATTCTGTGGTGTGTTGCATTTGTAATGAATCTTCAGTTTTTATAAGAGTTGATCCTTGTCATCAGAGAATTCCAGAATATGTTATGCAGATGGTATCCTAGGAGCAGTCTGGCCGTGAAAATGAGTGAGACAGATGACTCATTAACCTAGATCACTCCTTTTACTGTCTGACCTTCACCTGCTCAGTGGACATGTTTTATTTTTTGGCAGCAATACTTTGTGCTCTTGATCATCACGGATGGCGTGATCACAGACCTTGATGAAACCAGACATGCTATCGTCAATGCTTCCAAACTGCCCATGTCTATCATCATTGTGGGAGTTGGGGGAGCTGACTTCAGTGCCATGGAGTTTCTGGATGGTGATGGGGGAAGTCTCCGCTCCCCATCAGGAGAGGTGGCCATAAGAGATATTGTTCAGTTCGTGCCTTTCAGACAGTTCCAGAATGTGAGTACCATTCTTTCTGACTTAAACCCAGACCTTCAGGATGTTTTTGCTTTTGCATGTGAGAAGTTTGATTTGATTGGGCATTTTTGTATCTTTTGTGCTTTTGCTATGATATATGGTAAACTTAAAATGAAACTCTTATGAATATGTTAAGGTTTTTTGTTGTTGTTACTTTTGTATTAATTACTTTCCTTATGGTTGTGAAAAGTTACCTGGAAAGACAACTGGAGGAAGGAAAAGCTTCCCTTGGCTCATGGTCCGTTATGGTAGGAAAGGCATGGCAGGAGTCTGGGCCAGCTGCTCACAGTACATCCACAGTCATACAGAGAGGATGAATTTGGGTGCTGCCTTACTTAGAGGTTTTATTGCTGTGATAAAACACTATGATCTATAGCAACATGGGGAAGAAGTTTATTTTGCTTACACTTTATCACAGTCCATCATGCAGGGAGGAACCTGGAGGCAGGAGCTGAAGCAGATGCCACAGGAATGCTGATTATTGGCTTGCTTCTTATGGCTTGCTCAGCTTGCTTTCTTATAGAACCCAGGATACCAGCCTAGGGGTAGCACCACCTACAGTGGGCTGGACCCTCCAGTATCAACCACTAATGGAGAAAACGTTCTATGCTGGGTGGTGTTGGTGCATGCCTTTAATCCCAGCACTCGGAAGGCCGAGGCAGGCAGATACCTCTAAGTTTAAGGCCAGCTTGGCCTACAGAACAAGTTCTGGGATGCCAGGATTACAGAGAAAAACCCTGCCTTGAAAAAAAAGGCAGAGAGAGAAATAGAGAAAGACAGAGAGAAAGGAAGGAAGGAAGGAAGGAAGGAAGGAAGGAAGGAAGGAAGGAAGGAAGGAAGGAAGGAAGGAAGGAAATATTCTTCAGGCTGTCTACAGCCCAATCTTACAGAAGCATTTTCTTAGTTGAGCTCCCTCCTCTCCAATAACTCTAGCTTATATCAAGTTAACATTAATAAAACAGTCAGCTCAGATGCTCAGCTCAATTTCTCTTTACTTAGTCTAGGACTCTGATGCATGCAATAGTACCATTCATACTCAGGGTAGGTCTACTCATCCACTCCAATTAAACTGCTCTGGGAACAGAGATAGGGCCAGAAGTTTATGTCCTTGGTGATTCTGGATCCTATTGAATGGACAATCAAAATAAGCTACACTTTGTAACAACAGAAAAACAAATCACTAGCCAAACCTCTAGGAGAATATGTCTGCTTGAAGAAAAGCTCTTAGAAGCAGGGTATGTTAATACATCTTTAGTTCTCTCACTCTAAGACCAGTTTGGACCATGTAGTGAGTTCCAAGTTACCGAGAGTCCCATAGGGAGACATGTCTCAAAAAAAAAAAAATAATCTGTTAGAAGCTTGGTCCAGTGTTAATACCTTGTAGACTATCTTATAGGATCACAGCCAGGAATTATATAATATAATTACGATTCATCACCACAGGGAGCCTTTATGTTGTGCTTTTGTTGGTGCATCTACTTCCCATCTACACCTGTGCCTCCTTAGCCCATGGAAACCACTAAACTGTTCATTTATATAACCTCGTAAGTTCAGGGATTTACATAAATATTTGGGTAAGATGGTACTTGCCTGTAGTAACAGCACATAGGAGGCAGGAAGTGTGAATTTGAGGCCAGTCTGGGCTGCTTGGAGAGATACTATCTCAGAAAACAAACAAGTAAACGTAAATTTTACATAAATGGAATCATGCTGTATATGAACTATAAGGCTGGCTTTTTTCTTCTAGCATGGTTCTTCTTTGAGTCACCCAGGTTCTTGCATGCATTGCTTCTTAGTTTTGTTTGATTTTTGAATTCTTGAGACAATTTCAGTCAGGAATTTCCAGTGTATGCTGACCATTTTGAGAGGAACATGGAAAAATTTAATGTATAATGCTATATGAAATAGTCTTATATCACATAGATAAAAAAACAAAAATAGAAGCCCATATGTGAAAATTTTAGCAGCTTTATGCATAATAGATAAAAGCTGGAAACAACCCAGATGTCCTTCAAGAGGTAAATGATGAAGGAAATTATGGTACATATATAACATGGGATACTTATGAATAGACTTTAAAAACAGTACCTGGTGCTTTTATAAAGGCTGATATGAAGGCCTTACATGAAGGTTGCTTGGGAAAATAAGCATTCAGAATCAATTCTGTTTAAACTCATGTCACTCCTGTAATCATAGACTGTTTCATATAGCATTATACATTAGATTTTTACATGCTCATTTCAGAATGGTGACTGATACCCAAAACTCCTTTTAAAATTCTTTTATAGTATTACTAGAGCTTATAGGTAATTAAAATGGGGATTGCATTTAGTACTCATAAGAATGACTAATAAAATCTTTGTATGACTAACATAAAGTCTTTAGGAACAAATAGAACAATCTTTTAACATGACTTTCATATAGACTTTCAATAAGAGAAAAAAGTTAAAGATACATTTAAAAAAAAAGGCCATGCATGTTAGCACACACCTGTAGTCTTAGCACTAAGCAAACAGAGGCAGGAAGGATATCAAGGTCACTCAGGAGGTAGAGGCAAGCAGAACTCTGTAAGTTCAAGGCCAGCCTGGTCTACATAGTGATTTCCAAGCCAGCCAGGGCTACATAGTGAGACCCTGCCTCAAAAAATAGGAGCCATAGCAACAGCAGAATTATCAAATATGAAATGGATGGCACCAAAGAACTTGACACATATTAGCAGTGATAATGATGGCCATTATAAATAACATTGATTATTTCCCCTATATTATGTGGACTGTTCCTAATGTACAAGCCTAGAGGCTGGGAATTTCCACATTTTGATGACTGCTGAGTTATCTGTAATCTTTAGTCATATAGCCAGTATGTCAGCCAAACGTGGTTGTGTATGCCTGCAATTTCAGCCCTTGGTAGGGAGAGTCAGGAGGATGGCGAGTTCAGGGTCATACTTGATTGTATAGTGAGTCCAAGGTCAGCTTGAGCTACAAGAGACAAACAAATAAGCAAGCCAGCAAATCTCCAGTTGGTAACAGTAACTGTGATTTTGTTTTTCCTCAAGGCTCCAAAAGAAGCTCTTGCACAGTGTGTCTTGGCAGAGATTCCCCAGCAGGTGGTGGGCTACTTCAACACATACAAACTCCTTCCTCCCAAAAACCCAGCTGTGAAATAGAAGGAGCCAGGACAACTCCAGGATTCATAAGCCTCGTGGAGCAATGCCATCTCTTATGCAGAATGATATATCTTATCTACCTTATGTGCTTTTCACCCCCAGTGTTCCTGATACAAACCCAACTTTTTGTACGTATTTTATTTGTTTAAAGCACACGTTTTATACTTTTTGAAGAGGACAGTAGCAAATCCATCTCTACTTCATAAATTCAGTGATTGTTAGTGATGTCTAGAAATTGTAAGAGTGCTATTTGGAATTGAATTTAATGTGGGAAAAGTGGGGATTTGTTGGTTTGTTGTCTACTTTCTATAATGAAAATGCTATTTTTAAATGTTGTCAGAGTGAATGAGGAATTACAGGATGATGTGGTTTGCAAGTTGCTATACTGTTTACTGTTTATAGTAAATATCTTGCAAGCCAAAGTCTGTACTTGTGACTGAGAGAGCTCCTTAAAACAAGTAGTACTGAATTTATACCTGTGACTTTGTATTTGTTCCTTCCCATGCTGCAATGATGCATTATATAAAACTGTTTTCACATGGGTCTTCATGCAAAGCAGGAGCTTACTCGGTTTTTAAAATGTACAATCAACCAATGCAAAGATCTTTGCAGACAAGACAGTTTTGCCTTTTGAAATCTCTTCTTTTCATTGTGATCTATTGCACACAACATGGTCGGGTTTGGCCTTTCTTTTACTGAGTAAACAAGACATCCTTCTGTGGAAGTGCAAATGATAGGTCATTCCCAGAGTCTACATGACTAGGTCAGTGTAAGGTAACTAAGTGATTGGAATTGCTTTGTCCATTAAAGCTGTGAGGACCAAACATTTTAGATGAAAATTCACAATTGTAGGCTAGGCATGGTGGCACATCATGCTAGCGCTTGGGAGGCAGAGGCAGGAGAATCATTAGAAGCCAACCTGCCTATGTAGTGAGTTCCAGGCCAGCCAGCTACACAGTAAGAAGATGTTTCAAAATAACAAAGAAAAATAAATAATTGAGAAATCCATTTCTTCTATCTAATAGCATAATTGGAGGAGGTCATTTTTATTCTTTTCTTACTATGGTTCTATGCATTGATTTGTATAATTTTTTTTAGATATTTTTGCCTTTTAAAATGGTATTTTTGTTTTCTTTAAACATATAGTTCATTATTTATTAATCAAATCCATTTTTCATTTCAATAATGTACTATTTCCAAAGTTCAGAGTGGATTCTGTTAAGCATAAAACCTGATATAGCATTTAAAAAGAAAAAGCAATGCACACAAACAATACCCTTTTCTAATTGCTACATTTAGATAGTGTGGACTTAGTAAGCTTGTTTTGAAGAATAGAATTATCTCAACTCTACCCTTTGAAACATACTGCTTCCCGAGCACCACATTTTTGGAATAGATTCTGTAACATTTGCCTGAAACTCTCGATGTCAAATACTTTGCCAGTCTATGCAGTGGCCAGTCCTCACTAACAATTTAACATTTAGAATTGTGTATTTGTCACATAGTCTAGCCCTAGTCAGCGTCCCTGTCAGTGTTACTGAGTCCCTCGACTTCTGCCTGTGTCTTTGTTCTCTGCAGGCTTCTCAGAAAGAGCTTATAGCTGAGGTCTGGCTCAAAGAAGGTCTATTTGTCTTGTTTGCCTAGCCCAGTGAGCAGATGCCTCCTTCCCACCTGGGTAGCTGGCATCTTGGTATGTGCTGTTAACCTGAGGCAGTGCCCCTCTATAGCAGGGTTTCTTAAATTTAATTTTGAGTCATTTCACTCAAGACATTTTTATACAACCCCAGTTTTATAAGCATTTAAGATAGGTGTAAAATCAAACTTTGCAAGTAAATCAAATGAAATTTATTTTACGGGGCTGGAAAGATGGCTCAGGGTTCAGAGCATATGTTACTCTTGCAGAGGACCTGAGTTTGGTTCCCAGTACCTATGTCAGGCAGCTCACATCACAGTTGGCTGTAACTTTAGCCTCAGGGGCCCTGATGCCCTCCTCTGTCCTCCATGAGTACTGAATACATGCATACACACAGAAAGACACACACAATTCCAGGGGCCCTGATGCCCTCCTCTGTCCTCCATGAGCACTGCACACATGCATACACACACAAAGACACACACAATTCCAGCTTCAGGGGCCCTGATGCCCTCTTCTGTCCTCCATGAGTACTGCACACATGCATACACACAGAAAGACACACACAATTCCAGCTTCAGGGGCCCTGATGCCTGCCCTCCTCTGTCCTCCATGAGCACTGCACACATGCATACACACAGAGAGACACACACAATTCCAGCTTCAGGGGCCCTGATGCCCTCCTCTGTCCTCCATGAGTACTGCACACATGCATACACACACAAAGACACACACAATTCCAGCTTCAGGGGCCCTGATGCCCTGTGTCCTCCATGAGCACTGCACACATGCATACACACACAAAGACACACACAATTCCAGCTTCAGGGGCCCTGATGCCCTCCTCTGTCCTCCATGATCACTGCACACATGCATACACACAGAGAGACACACAAACAAACTTATTTAACACAGTTTTTGTTAGACTTACCATTTTACCATTTATTAAAGGTGAAAGCATGTTTGCCTATTCATGAGGTGGATATGCTTTGTTTTTAAATAAGAATTTGATCTCAGCTGGATCTATTGCAGTACATAGAGCATCTTGGATGTACTTCAGACTTGATTGATATTTTGATTTTATAATTGCAAATGCTTATAACCCCCTTTCACATAAATACATAGTATGGAATGTCATAAACATGTTTAGGGGTGTTTCAGAAGTTGGATGTTCTTATCCTAAGCCAAAACACATTTTTGTTTTTAAAGATTTTTGAACGAAGCTGACAGTTTTTAAAAATCAAGCTTCCTAACACAAAACAATCTAGAGATATTGATTTGACATTTACTGGATTCAGAATGGCAGGAGGTATTGAAGTCTTTGTTTTCTATAACTAAGCATTTATGCTTCAGAAAGCTAGTTTGTGCAGTAAAATGGCTGAGATTCCTAATACACAAGTAACCTGAGTGGAGCTGAGGTACTCAGGCAGTGCTTATTGTTGTTAGTCATGGCATGGCAGCTGTGTAATGCAAGGTGCACTGGGTGTGTCCTCAGCACCAAGGCTGCCGTGAAGTTGAGTGATATAATATGGGCGAGCCCTCCAGAAACACCTCAGATTCATCAGACAGTTGCTTTTGAATTAATTATTGGCCGTTGTGCATTAGACCTTAGAAACCTTTTACTGAAGTTGGGTTTTTCAGTCAGTTACATGACTACTTACGGGGCCATGGCCCACAGTTCAAGAACCTGGGCTGTACAGCATGATTCATTAGTAACAATTGAGTTATCAGTAGAGGAGACAAATACTGATTTTCTTTCTTTCTTTTTTTTTTCCTTTCTCTCTTTTGAAACCGTTTTTGTTTCACACATCTCAGTTCTCTGTGCTTAGGAAGACACCACAGTAGTTTCCAGGACTGTCTTTTGCATACAGAGGGAGCCAGCACAGAAATGGCTTACAGATTCTCGGTGTATGTGACGCAGTAGCAGAGGGGCTTCTCTGGCTCTGAAGCAGGGCTCGCTGCTTGCTCAGCCCCAGAGGCTACTCAGAACTGTAGACGCTTCTTCATGCTTTCAGTGGGCATCTGGCAGCCATCTTCCTGCCATTTTGTCTGAACAGTTTTACATTCTGGCCTACCAGAACTGTTTGCTGTTAAAATAGTTTTTTTTCTTTAAATGACTCATCTTGATCAGGTTTTTATAAATATGTTATTTATAAGACCTGTGATTCTGGCAAATTAAAGTAATCCATACGTTACTTGCAGTTTGAAATAAAAGCATTTACAACTTCTAAATTGTCATTTTATAAAACTCTTAGTTTCAGCCCTCAACTTCATTCCATGCCATTTTATATTGAAATATTTATTTTCCTTGTTGTGCCATTCATTTGTAAAATACATCTAAAATGAAAATCACCAAATTGATTTTCATTCCTCTGTAACCACATATGTAATGCATATATTCAGAAATAGTATTCCCACTGGTCTAGTCACCTTGTCTTCTGTTTACAATTGATTTTTTTAAAAGGCCATTAAAATTTTAAGTCTTTTGAGGGATTTACAAGTGTTCACTTTAGACAGTGCTTGGCCAGCTTTTCCAAAATAGATTCAGGGCCTCATTGCTGATTGTGCTACATTTTGACATGCTTTCCTCCTTTCATACGTTTCCTAGAAAGCCATCTTCGAGAATACTCTCTAGTCTGTTTTTCATGAAGGTGATGTAAGGTAAGTTAGCAGCTGGGTGAAAATTGTGAGCAGTTGTGTTGCTGTGGATGTCACAGTATTGCATAACTTACCAATATATGAATTCATGTCAAATATATCTTCTGTGTGGATTCCCTTTGGATAAAGTTACTTCTTGATGTAACATGGCTGTATTTTGTTTTCATTTATATTTCTCTACATCTTACCAAAATAGTAGAAAATGGAGCTGGGTGAATGGCTCAGTGGATAAGACCACTTGCTACTTAAGTTTGAGGACCTGAGTTCAGATCCTTGTACCCCTGTAATAAGCCAAGCATGGCCACACAGGCTTTAACCTTAGCACTGGAGGGAATGGGTACAGCTCTTAGCCTAGCTGGGAACTGGCAAGCTCCAGGTTTAGTAAGAGGTCCTTACTTAATGGAATAAGGCGGAGAAAAAATAGAGGATACTTGGTGTCCTCTGGCTGTGCATCCTTCATACACTTATTTATTCATACATTCATATACCATATACAAGAAAAGTAATAGAAAAGTTAGAAATAAATAGAAAATTAGTCTAATTTGGAGTGCCATTAAAAACCACCATAAACTGATTTGTAAATAACCCAGGCTGGGAAGTTCAAGAGCATGATGCTGGAATCTAGAAGGAGCCTCTGCTGTGTCATAACATGGTAGAAAGGCAAAGAACACATGTGAGACGGGGAGAAGAAACTGAGCTGAACTTATCCTTTGCATCAGGAACCTACTTCCACAGTGACTGACCTGTACCTGTGATAGAAGCATTAACAATTCAATAGGGCTAAGAACTGAATGGTAACTGATAAAAAAGATTAAACAGCAAATATGAGACTGCCTTAGGGTTCCTAGTGCTATAAAGACACATGCCACAGCAATTCTTACAAAGAAAAACATTTAATTAGGGTGGCTTACAGTTTCAGAGGTCTAGTCCATTATGATGGAACATGGCAGCATGCACGCAGCCATGGTGTTGAAAAAGGAGCTGAGAGTTCTACATCTTGATCCACAGGCAGCAAAAAGAGTCTATCCATATTGAGCATAGCCTGAGCCTAGAAGACCTCAAAGCCCCCCCAACCCCCCTCCCCGTGACACCTTCAACAAGGCCATACCTGTTCCAACAAGGCCAC